TTTTCCTAATCATATAGTAGATACTAGTCCATGGCCTATAGCTACAGCATTTTCTTTATTTATAGTAACAAATAATATAGTATTAGTATTACAAGGATTTAGTTCAATAACATTAATAATAGGTTTAATATCATTAATATTATGTATGACACTTTGGTGGAAAGATGTAATAATTGAAAGTACTTATCAAGGACATCATACTACTACTGTAGTTAAAGGTATTAGAATAGGATTTTTATTATTTATTTCTACAGAAGTATTTTTATTTTTAACTATATTTTGGGCTCAATTAAATGCAGCTTTAGTACCAGATATAGAATTAGGTGGATTATGGCCACCAATAGGAATAGAAGCAATAAATCCATTTGGAATACCATTATTAAATACATTTTTATTATTATCATCAGGTGCAACAGTAACTTGGGCTCATAATTCTATAATAAAAAATACAAATAAAAAAGAAACAATATTTAGTTTATTATTAACAATAATATATGCTACTATATTTACAGGTTTTCAAATATTTGAATATTATTATGCTCCTTTTAGTTTTGTAGATGGTATTTATGGTTGTACTTTTTATGGTGCAACTGGTTTACATGCATTACATGTATTAGTAGGTAATATATTTTTAATAGTAGCTCTTTTTAGAATAATAAAAAATCATTTTACTGATACTCATCATTTAGGATTTGAATTAGCTATAATATATTGGCATTTTGTAGATTTAGTTTGGTTATTATTATTTATAATATTTTATTATTGGGCTTCTTAATTATAAATATTATTTTATAAAATTAATTATATATAAATAAAAATTATAAAATTTATATAGATATGTTATTTCAAATATTAAATAAAACCAATAGCATTGCTATTGGTATTAAACAAAAGTAAAATAATAAAAGAAAATTTTAAATAAATGAGTATATTTAATCCATTAGAACAATTTAAAGTACAAGAAATATTTTCATTATCAACAGTTTTTGGATCTTTTTCATTAACTAATTCATCTTTATATTTAATGATAGCTACTATAATTATTTTTTATTTATATAAATTAAGTTCAAATGTACCATCATTAACATTAATAACAAGTAAAAATAATTATTCAGTTTTAACAGAATCTTTATATAAATCAATATTAAAAATGGTTAAAGAACAAATAGGTGAAAAATATACTATATATATGCCT